GCCGTTTGCGGAAGTACATATACCCAGGACATGGCTAAGAACAGATCACCCCTGCGGCTTGCAACACACCACCAAGACCCACCTACAACCTCGAGAAATGAGAGCTTACTACCTCGACGACCTTCCTGGGGACCAGCGTCTCCCTCACGACTCCGGCCACGTTGCATCGCTCGAGACCCTCGCAGCGCTCGGAGTGCTCTACTGGCGGATCCCCGTGGACGCGCCGGGCGGGTGGGAGATCCAGGTCAACGCGATTGCGGACGAACGCAAGTATCGCTCGCGCGACGTGGTGACTGCCAGCAGGGAGTCTTTGGGCGAGGTGTTCGATGCGCGGATGGCGATGTTCTTCAAAGAGTGAGTTCCTTGACCACACCCCCCGCCGAGACGAAGACATCAGGCTCTGAACAGCATGTGTGCAGGCATATCCACGAAGACGAGGAGATCAGGTACCTCCTCGAGGGCAGTGCGTTCTTCGATGTCCGGGGTGAGCATCTCCACCATCCTTAGGCGCCATACACTGACGCTCCTATTCCCTCCGCTCCAGAACACACTACGGACGCGTGGGTGCGGTGCCACCTCGAAGCCGGCGACATGATCATTCTCCCGGCAGGAATCTATCATCGCTTCACTCTCGACGAGAACGAACACTCGAGGACTTTGCGGCTTTTCAAGGTGGGTCGTACGTCATATACCTAGCGACGAGGGCTGATGGTACACCCATGTTACTAGGACCAGCCCCGGTGGGAGGCTCATTACCGCGGTCCGGAGACAGACAAGAATCCGTATCGGGCGGAATACCTGAAGGCGTTCTCGGATGCAGATAAACTCACATCGCACCATGTCCGGGTAGGTGCCTAATAACGTCCAGTACGCAGAACGTACAATGCCCATTGAGCTGCTGTACAATATCATCAACAAACGCATACACACACGGGCGAACGTTCAACGTTGTACGATTTGAGAAAAGCGCTCGTGATCACAGGAACAGTGATGACAAGGTGCGGACTCCTGTGCTAGACGAATACGCACTACGCGCGCGCGTCCTCAGACTCTATGTCGAATCTTGCCGCGAGCAACTCTGAGCCTGCGTTCAGTCTGTGCGCTCTCGCTGTTCTCGCTGTGCGATTCATAAAGATCGCCAATCTGTCTGACACTTCCGGTTCGGATTGAACTTTGTTATCCTCGTGCCGAGGGAGGTTAGATGTGAGTGTAACATTTCGCATGCGTTGAAGGGCTTGTTGCTAGCTCATCATCATCTCTAGCTCATATTCATCTCTATAAAGATCATTGCAAGATTGTCGTCCAGTTCGACATCGTACATTTTGAGAGTGTCCATACGCTCTCCTTGTCACATTGAGCTATACCAAGCAGGGACCATCACCTCGCATGTGATTGAGACTTTCCGACCCTTGGTTGGCTCGCACCCATTCCATTCACGTCCTCCGCCGATTGTTTTTGTTCCGATGTGGGAAGTATCTCGTCGAAGCGCTGTAGTGCTTTGTGGTCAGGACGAGGGAGATCGTCTGAAATTCCCAGGTGCTGGCTATGACTGCGAGGTACTTCGTACATAACTCCACCTGATATATGGCAGAGCGCTGCGCTTGGTCCGTCTGTTCGTTCAGATCAGACAGTAGGCCACTGTTCGGCATCCGCATGGCCCCATGGAGGAGTTGGCTCACCTAGGCTGCGCGGCAGACGCGCACCAAGCACTACTGGCAGCCTTTGGAGTACACGATACCCGTCGGGAAACCTGTGGGTCTGTAGTAGGAGCTGGTGAGCTCTGCTCACGGATCAACGATTGCCCCTCTTACCCAGAAACTCGCAGCGCCTTACGCAGCTCACAGGCCACCGCCGCAGTGTGCCCTAGTTCAAGTAATACATGCCTGTCAAATGGTGCCAGCGGCGACGCTCGAGCTTCAGCGGTGCGACCGCACATTCCCCATGGAGCGCCAGCGTTCCCTTTCGGGCGCAGACGCCACAAAGCTGGCAGATGGTCTGGACAGTGACCGGACAGCCTAGTGCGACTCGAAGGTGCACAAAAGCCGGAGAGTACTACGGGCCCGGGCAACACCTGGACGCAGTGTCGCTGTAGGACTGGCGATGCTCGCGTACTATCAGGACCTACGACCTCGACGCCGCGGTAGAGGGGTGGTCGTTGACACTCGCACAAATCGCGCACGTTGGGGGACGCATCTGGGATGCCGAGACGCGGTACAAAGGCGGCGCAGGTACACCCGTGGCCTGTCAAGGGATCCTCGCGCCGCCGTTGAAGCTGCTCGAAACCGTCCGATTATGGTGAGACCCTGGTATTGAACGTAACGCGCTAAACCCGAGTCTCCAGTACGTCGACAGCAAGAGCACTCCGACTAAAGGAGATCTTTCGACCTGGCGCCCGGTGGCAGCATAAAAGCTGCACCTTGTGTTCCCGGATTCCAGCAGCACTCTCACAGACCTCGCGACGTCACCATCCCTGGTGAGTGCCCACCGTTTCCTCCGTCGCAAGGTTTCCCCGCGTAATATTGACGCAGTACCAGTACCATGCACCTCACCATCGTCTTCAAGTCATTATACGTCCTTGCCCACGTCGGGCTCGTCGTCGGCACCCCAACAGCACTCCAGACGCGCCAGACATGCGACATCCTCGAGTGCATGAGCGTCGAGGACTGTGGGCCATGTCCCAACATCCCTGGGGGTTGGACCTGCGCGTCCACTGATCGCTCGGGACTTGACGTGAGTGTTCTTTCCACAGCGCTTGCTGCTGATGAGTGTAGCGCGAACAGCTACTCACCATATGCTATCTTTCTTTAGGCGTGTGTCCCGGCCCTGAAAGGTTGATTTTTGGGCGTAGTACGTAGCTGCTTTGACCGTCTCTGGCGTCGAATGTTCGTTCCTTCCATTCAAAGGCCGAGATTTGACGATAATATGAGGCTGAGAAGCATTGAGAGGTACGTGAGAGACGTGTGCGTCTTCGCGCGTGGGTTTCGTGAGCTATGTACAGAAGGCTTCGCTGCGAGCGTAAGAAACATGGATCATCGCAGCCCGGTGGTGTTCCCGCGCACCTGAAGAATGAGACCCCGAGGTCGTTTGCGCTAAGAAAACGCGGCAGAAGAGGGGCGCCCGAAGGCTTTTGGAAAACGACGCTCGAGATGGCGTATACCATGGAAGGCTGAGCGTGTTCAACGATCGATGCAGCTCACCGCCGGCTTCAACTTGCGCCGCGGGCTCTGAGCGCGCTCGGCACCAGCTTAGCAGGGAGAGCCACTGCTGACATCGCAGGTATAGATGCATGTCTGTATCATAGCTGTGTATCAACATCTAGACCACGTTGTGGCACCGCGTCTCCGTCTTTCAACTTGCGTAGTCTTGCTTTCCAGCACAAAAGACTAACGAGCCAACGACTCGGAGCAAATACATTCGGACCTGCAGTCTTCAACTTAAAGTATGGGGTAAATCAGGTTAGATCGTGTACCGCCTTCTCCTACGAGTGATGTATACACAGTGGCAAGAGTTGAGAAGATCGCGCATCTTGAAAGCCGCATAGGCGCGCACTGTGCTACACAACGAAAACACTTATTGGGTTAGGGTTAGCATATCACATGTACATGCCACTAGTTCTCTAATTTGAAGTTATGCATGTGGACTATCGTCCACACGTCTACAGTCAACCAGGAATGTTGTTTGTGGTATGACTATATTCGGGGTAGTGTTGACCCACTTTGAACCTGACGAATCCGTGCTTGCCTACAGTGGGCGTGGAGCGGGTCCAAAGATGACGGGAGGATGCCTTCAGCCAACCCGTGTTCGCTGATTTGCCTACGACCAAATGCTACTCAAAGTAACTCAACGAAGGCGACGATGAGTCCAGGTGCGAGCACAACGGCGTGAATTGTAAGGAAACTATGATACACAGGGAAATCGGCGTCGTTCGTCTGGCTTCGCAACGTCCTCTACACCACTCTCATACCCGCGGCCTCTGCCGCAGCATACACTCGCAGTAGTCCGTGACAAAGTGCTCAAACCGCGCCGCTGGACTTGCGCCTGACGTCCGGGTCCTACATCAGCTCCGGCGTAACGTCTCGCGGGGCATGGTGCTGAAGACACTCACAGCTGGTAGCCCGCGGCGATGAAGGGGACGGAGAAGAGGGTGACGGCCGACACCGCGTATCGCGTCGCAAACTTTCGCCGGTTGTCGTACGTGAAGGGCATGTTCTGCCGAAGAGAGGGGGGGGAGAGCGGAAATGAGCCCCGCGTCCACGGCTGCCGAAGAGCAAGTAGAGGGGATGGACTTACATGGTGAGCGGTGTGTTCCTTGAGATGGTGGAGACCGAATCCGCGAGCGAGCTTGGGAGTGCGCGCAGCGCGGAAGGAAGCGGTCGAAGCCCTTGCGAGAGGAGACATATCTTTCCGATTCGGCGGGGGGTAGACGGCGTGTGTTTGGGATTGTGGAAGGCCGAGGAGTGCGAGGGGGTTGCGTGCTTAAGGCGAGCAGGACGCTGCGCGGTGTTATGTAGGTGGTGCGGATGCCCCACCGAATCGAACCATGGGCGCGCAGGCGAGCGGTGGACCGTGGACAGGCCCCTCTGGACGGGGACTAGAATAGTCGTGGCCTGAGAAAGACCAGAGCAGAGAGTGTTGCTTCCGAGCCAGGTGATCATTTGTATTGAGGGTGGTTCCAGGGTGGTCGAGAACACGGATGGTCTCGAAATGGACTCGTTATGGAGTCGGCCCCACCCTTCGCGTCAGCCTGTTGTGGTTTTGGAACATTGTCGTCGTTGGAACAGACAGTGGTGTGCCACTCAACGGCGTGAAGGAACCGTTGGAAGCTGACCGCCATGGAACTTGAAGAATCGAGAGATCACGGTGGGAGGCCGAGGTCAGTCGTTGAACGCCACCGCCATCACCACAACAGCACTGCTAAAGATCTAGATCCGCATATACAGGTCCTGTTAGTTTCAGTTTACAAACTGTGGATAGACCAGCCACGACCTTATCTTGTATCTGCCGCATTGGCGTAGTGGTATGCGCGTCCCACTTGTACTCAGCGTCTCGCTCAGGCAATGGGGAGGTCACTCGTTCGACCCGGGTATGTGGCATGACTTGTTTTTGCCCTGCTGGCTCAGATGTGATCGTGATCACTACTGCTACTAGTCCATACACTAGTTCCATTGCACCCTGGGATATATAATCCAGTCGTAACGTAGCAAATGTATCCCAGGTGCGTGTGATTGTCTGTGATTGGCAAAACTGCACTACAAAGCGGGCAAGGTTGACTAGCGCACCCGCACCGTCGCCGTTGGCACAAAGAACTATGGGTGGTTTGGCGCACTCTGCTTTGTGCAGAACCATCCTCCGACGTATAAAATGCTTGACCGCGTGGCAGGCCCCGTTCGACACACATCTCCTACCTCTACCCCTGTCTTACTTACCTGGCTGGCGCCGGACGCCCTCCCATATCACTGCACCATGACTTGTTCGCCCCTCTCCTACGACACCATCAGTCCGAGAACCCTCTTTGAAGAGTTTTCTGAACCAGAGGACAGCGTCCTACCCTGTCTGGACGACATCACCGATCCCGATGGGTGGCGCGCCCGGCGCCGCTCAGAGAAGAAGGCCGCGCGAGTGCTGGGCATCCCGACGCTCAGCGACGATGGCGGTGGGGACATGGACTCGGCGCACCACGCATTTCAGGCCGAGGGCGGAGACACGTCGTATCACGGGCCAGAGGGCGGCCGGCGGGCGTCCCTGTCGCATCTGAACCTCTCGTCGCTCTCGCTGCGAGAGCCCGCGCGCGGATTCACACGCCTCCAGAGCATGAGCGAGGACGACGTCCCGCTCCTGGGGGCCGCGGCGAGGGGCGCGCGCAGGACCAAGCCGCACCGGCGGTTGGGGCGACATCTCCTCAAGCCCTTCCGCCTCGCGAGGGCCAAGGCGCGCAAGATCGGGCGCGGGCGATCCGACGGGGACAAGATGGAGTGGGCGGACGCGGAGGGGGGCCAAGGCGCGCAGGAGGAGGCCGTGAGCGACGTCGAGATGGAGGATGCGGATGAGGATGAGGGTGACGGGTCTGTACCGGGCGAAGGGAGCCCCGGCGCGCTGGTGCCGAGGACGCCGCGGAAGGTGCGGTACGCGTCCGTGCCGCTCAGCCCGCACTCTACGCCTCCGAGCGCGAAAAGCAGGCGGAGCACCAGCAGCTGGCTGCGCACGACGCCGCGCACGCCGTGCTCGGCGAAGTCGTGGCGGACCGACGGCTCACCAGGGAGCGACTTTAGCCCGAGCAGCGGGGGCAGCACGCTCCAGCGCCGGAACAAGCGGCGGCGGGCGAGGAATCTGGTCTCGGAGAGCAAATGTTTGCAGTTGTTGGGACCCGAGGCCAGCGCCGCGGTCGCGCGCGCGACCAACGTCAATGAGACGAAGCTTCGCTATCGGGACTTTGGCCGTCAGCTCCACGAACGGTTGAGGAGGGACTTGTGAGGACTCTGTAGCGTGACGTTGGGGACAATCGGTCGCTGGTCGAACCCTGTGCTGTATCGTGTTGTGATAACTTACAGTAGCAATGCATGTTTAGTACAGACACTTACAATTGTAGCTCATGCAAAGTGTGTTGTTGCGATGGCTTCGGATGCATGTTGCAGGTCACGGACGTTGTTGTTAAGGAGCACTTGGCGAGAGCATTGATCAGAGGAGGTCCATACTAGGATAGAAATCGTATTGATCATGCTTAGACAGATCATTCTGCGTCGTATGCGTGAGAAAGCCAGAGCTTAGAATGTTGCCTGTGCAGTCGCCATGCGCAGCAATATTACTAACCTCCATACTATCACCAGAACCACCGTCTTCTCCTAGTCATCGTCCTGACAGGCCCCGGTCGACTATGTATCTCTACGGTCGCGAGTGTAATGAGACTGCTTTGGCTATGCTCGCATTGATGCCGGAGTGCTGACTTATCATATCGCTTGGATTGGACATACCGGCAACCGTCTCTCCTAGCTCTAGGTGAGCACGAGGCTCTGCTTCTACATGTTCCGTACTCACTGATCCATCTTCATCATCCACAGTATACATCATTAGGAGCCCCAAACTAACGCTTATTTGGCATTCTCCACCACCCTTGACCGCATTGCGAAGTCGAGCATCGCGGAGTGCTGCCGCATAGCCTCCGTTCCGCATACGTCCAGTACACATATCCGCATGCGACTGCCTTGGTGCACCTCGCGGTGTTGCGCACTTCATTTCCTCCTCGTCTGCATCCCGGTGAGTACATGCCACACCTTCTACGCGGGGCCGGCGTACTGGTTCCGTTTGAAAAATGAAGTGCGAGGCATGTCTTGAACTTCCGCCGGTGTATAGTCCGGTGAGGGTTTCCGGCATACGGTGAGAACGCCTTGCTTCCCCAAGGTTCGCCACTGAGCATGTGTGTACCGATTGAATCAGAGCGGCCTATGTCTAGGAATAGCCGCCCCTGTAAAGATATCGCGTTGCGAAGGGCGGGCGCGGTTCGTTGCTAAACCTACGTATCCGCGGTCCGTCCGAGGCCTGAGCTGATGACCTGGACGCATCGTTGTCAGTCGGTCCTTCTGACACTGAATGGACCAGCGAGCCGGTAAGACGTATGCCAACCCGTTTGCAAGTCGTATCGCTCGCTTTGCGCGTACATGGCGTCGCGGGCATCATTGGAATTCGAGGCAGTAAGTAGCCTATCCGATCTCTTTGGAAATGATCGTTTTTTCTGACCACTGTGGTTGTGAGAACAGCGCGTATCCTTGAGCCTTGGAGCTTCGCCCGCAAAGATGCCTCCCACATGTCCCGTTACGGAATGGTTGAGTGGGTCCGTCCCACGCCGCTCAATCGTCGAGCAGTCGATGGCGATCTAGGTCAGGCTGCCCTCGGTGACATCCATATGTTTTCCGACAAACCAGATCGCGCGTTCCACATGGATATGTGAACATTGAGCTCGAACCCCAAAATCGCTGACCGCCGCAACACAGTGCAGACTTTGTGACCCGCATGGTGCGATGTCGGTAGCCGCAGTTGCCCGGGACCCATGGCTGGCGTGGTGGCGCAGAGGACCATAGATGCAGGTGCGGAACCCGGGACGAGAGTGACCGGCGATACAGCACAGGTGCTTCTCTGAATGCCCGCCGACGTGTCCACGCGCTGGTCTGGGGCCATATCGGTATCACGCGATAAACTGCGTTCCCAACCAACGCCAGTTTTCTCTCTCCGGACGCACGCTGATCGCTGCAGGATTTTTTTGTCGTGATCACGCCCGCCTGCGCGACATATGGCTCTCGTCCTCAGCTGCCCCAGACGTGATGACCGTCCGAAACCCTTCTGTCAACCAACGGGAGCAGGCTCGGGCAAGGTAAGCGCCTGCGCACGGTTTCCACACAAGCAGGACGAAGATCACGGAGAAGCTTGGCGGGACGCGTGCCGTGAGCAAGTCTTCCGCTCCGGGCTTTCTTCCGCACTTACTGAGTTTGGCAAACGCGCAGCTTCCGGCTTTGCCAAATCGCTCTCGGAAACGCCGGTGCAGCACACATTCGCTTGCGTTTTAGGAACCCGTCGTCCCTCACTCGGCTCGTTCCTAGGTCCAGCAAGAATGCATTGATCGGGGTTCTGCGTGCGCTCTAGGCTGGCTCCACCTTTTTTTTTTCACTGTCACCCCTGCGGGCGTCGTTAGGACGACGGCGCTCGATCCACCCTCTCGCTGGGCGAAAACGACGCGCGCCGCTCGTCTAGCCATTCTTGTCAGGCGACACGAAGCATCTGCTCTAGCTCCACCAACGCTCTCAGATGACTTGCTGCCTTGCTTGTGTCCTTCTCTCTGGGAGCTATTCTAATGCGCCCGCGGAAAATTGCGATGGTCATGTTGCCATGCCTGTTTTCGAGCATATGCTCGGTGTGCATCTTCGAGGGTGGTTGGGCTCTATCCGGTGTGAGCTATCGATAACCGCGGAGGAAGAGGACACCAGACTGCTGCAGCCAGGTTTCCTTAAGCGTCTTCTCTCCACAGGTCTTTCGACGTTCTCGACCTTCCGGGGAGGCACTTTCCATTTCATGTTCCGCGCGTCACCCCTTCCGTGGGCTCTGCGCCATCCGAACTGTGTCTTTCCACCCCGGCTATTGGATGACAAGAACCTGTGCCTTGCTTCGCGCGAGGCACCATGCGATGCCTCCGCCTCTAGCCACCCATGTTCGGCTGCACGCCCGACGTGCGCATCGCCGGCTCCGTACGGTGTGTCCTTCGCCAGCGTGATCCAGCCCCCGGCGCCACTCTCATCCATATCCCAAGGCTCGGGCGGTCGGAGACGAGTATAAAACCCTCTGTTGTCGAGGGCCACAGCTCGTCGTGCGCTGCAGCTTCTCTACCTCCTCGAGGTACACCCCCAGCACACTCGCGGCTCTCCGCTCCCCCGTTCCCCGGACCTACTCGCCATGACTTTCCCCCGCGCATTCTTTGCTCTGACGTCCCTCGTCGCCGCCGTCCTCGGTGCGACGTACCAGCAGACCGACAGCCACCAGGGCAGCGGCTTCCTGAAGTCGTTCTCGCACCAGGCCATCGCCGACCCCACGCATGGCAGAGTGTAAACGTCTCCCGTCCTCTCCGCGCATCCGACCTCGAGACTGAGCGTGGGGGCTGGATTGGACAGGAACTACGTCGATCAAGGGACCGCGCTCGCCCAGAACCTCACCTTCTCCTCCGGGGACCACTTCGTCATCCGCGCGGACCACACGACGGTGCTCAACCCCAGCGGGCCCGGGCGCAACTCCGTGCGTCTGCAGAGCAACAAGCAGTACACGACCCACGTCACGGTGTGAGTAAGCGCGCGCGCGGGGGCGGCGATCCGCCCGAGGTTGGTCCCGTCGCAGAGTCGCTCACGATCCGCGGCACGCACGCAGGTGGAACATCCGTCACATGCCGCAGGGCTGCGCGTGAGTCTCGCACTGCGCGATGGCGTCGTCGACGACGGGAGTGCTGTCTGACAGAGAGCCGCCGTCCCCCCTCTGTAGCACCTGGCCCGCGCTGTGGGAGGTCGGCGCTGACTGGCCCAACCAAGGTCGGTTCGGTCCCGCGATCACACGCGAAGCTCGCGGAGGAGGGAACGTGTGACGCTCACGGCTCTTCCCCCCGCTCTCGGTCAGGTGAAATCGACGTGCTCGAGGGCGTCAACGACCAGAGCCCGAACCAGTCCACGCTGCACACTAACTCCGGTGAGTTGCCGCCCCTGCTCGCTGGCAGCACGCGCCGTGGTCTGGGCTCACGCACGGTGCGCCGCCAGGATGCACGATGCCTGCCTCCCGGGCGCAAACGGGGTGAGCGCGCGCTGTCAAAGAGAGGCCCGGTGGAATGGCTGGTGCTGATACGCCCGCGACAGGAATGCCGGATCGAACAACTGTGACGTTGCCGCGACGAACAACGCGGGCTGTGGCGTGCAGGCGAACAAGGCGAACAGCTATGGCCCGGGCTTCAACAACGCCGGCGGAGGCTGGTGAGCGCCGTGCGATCTGCACGCCCGCGACATGCACGGCGGGGGGGAGGCTGATCGTGTGCGTTCTGGCAGGTACGCAATGGAGCGCACGAACTCGTTCATCAAGGTCTGGTTCTGGTCCCGCAACGACGGCTCGGTGCCCAGCGACGTCCTGAACGGCGCGACGAGCATCAACACGGACAACTGGGTGAGCACCGAGAGAGCACCCCGACCGCGGTCTCCGCGGTGTGCGGGAGAGGGAGACGACCGCTAACGTCGGCCGCGTCGCAGGGCACCCCGTACGCGTTCTTCCCGAGCCAGTCGTGCAACCTGGCCTCGCACTTTGGCGCGCACAACATCATCATCAACCTCACGCTCTGTACGTCATCTCCTTCCACGGGTGCGCGTGGTCGACGTGCGTGACAAAGGCTGAGCCCCCCTTCCTTCCCTCTTAGGCGGTGACTGGGCTGGCAACGTCTTCGGCCAGGACGGATGCCCGGGCAACTGCGTCGGTGAGCATGCAATTAAAGCGGCTCGTGGCGCTCTACGTCCGCTGACCCCTGCTTTGCCCCCCCCCCTTCCCCCCTCGCCCTGATCTGCGCTGCTCAGACTACGTCAACAACAACCCGTCCGCGTTCACGAACGCCTTCTTCGACATTCAGTGGCTCAAGATCTACGGGTGAACGTTTGGACGACACCCCCTGCCGCGTCCGCTCTGTCCCTGCTGCCGGACAGCAGCACATGACCGCGCCCTGGTCCATCCCGGCGACCGAGTCGGTCGCCGCGCCCTTACGACACTCACGACGTCTTTTCCTTTTTCCTTCTGGTTCTCTTATGCTCGGTCCCCTGTAGCCGTTTCTGTTTGTACCATTATCGGGTCGTGCTGCGGTAGCAGCTGTATGATGTTAGTCCGGAGTGCAATGTGGAATAGTACGACCGTTGTTGCATCGAAGGATGCGAAAGAGGTCGAATCGAGCCAAACAGTTTTATTTCCTTTCTGCCTATATACGTCCTGCTTTGTGCGACGACGGGGCGGCGAGCAAAAGATCGTACCAATAGCGGGTAAGTATCTGCAAAAAGGGCCTGGCCGGGAATTGAACCCGGGACCTCCTCCAAATACAGTCCTGATCGGGCCCTAAGAAGGAATCATACTACTAGACCACCAGGCCGTATTTGGACTTATTTAACGGTTTGTACGATCCACAGAATGATAGTATTATCTCAAACCTGATTAGATCACAGCGTTCATTTCGGTGTCGGCTCTCCCTTTGACCGTCAGCCTCTCCACTGGTACTCGATGACATTGATCGTGACCTCTCAATTGTACACAGGCCCATTGTGCGGTCAGCCGTCATAGATTTTTCGTATCCGAAGAACCGTAACCTGAAGTACAGCCGACCACTGTAACGTAACCTCGATGACTCTGAGATCCCCCCCGAACACTGTGGCCTCGGATCCAGTGTCAATGCAGTTCTCTGCGTTCAAGGACTGCTTAGCGCGTCGTATCTTGGCAGACCCCGGAATCAGCGACCCATCCCGATCCGACACACAGAACGAGACAGATGCTCTGGACGACTTCGCCGCCTACTTGGCTTGCGAAACATGGCCCGCCCTTCCTCCGTCGCTGCGCGAGGCGACATACGAAACGCGAGACGCCGTGCCAGACATCGACGAGCTCGCTCTGGACAACGTTCCGGCCACGTTCGCCGACACCCTCGTGTCTTGCGGGCTCTCGGACGACGAGGAAAGCGCGGCGGCCTTCCTCCGGAGGACGCTACGGGACTTTGTCGTAGATGCGTGCGCGCCGCCGCCGGTGTGGTCCAGGACCCGGACGACGGAGTGCGAGATCTGCGAGCGCGAGGTCCCGCTCACGTACCACCACCTCATCCCGCGCGAGGTGCACAACAAGGCGCTCAGGAAGAAGTGGCACCCCGAGGCGATGCTGAACTCTGTCGCGTGGCTTTGTCGGTGCGTAGACGACGGGGGTGCGACAGCGCGGTGGGCCCGGACGCTCGGCTGACTGCTACACCGGGGCTGCATTCGCAGACCGTGCCATTCGGCTGTACATGGCGTCGCGACCAACGAGGTGCTGGCGAGGGAGTATTACACCATCGAGCTCCTCCTCGCGCGGGAGGACATCCAGAAATGGCGAAAGTATGCTTCGAAACAGCGATTCGGTGTCAGACGCGGATGACCGAGGACGAGGGACATAAGAGATGTCTCGGGTATGTGGATTGCCAGGGCTGCGCTTACAACTTATGGTGCTCATAGGCTCTGCAGGTAGCCTGTAGGTAGGGCATGTATGTGTCTGACACTGTCTCATCCGCATATAGACCTGAACTTGGTCGAGTCGTCCGTGAGTGCGTCACGCTCATGGGACGCGATCTTCTGCTTCTTCTGATCTTCTGAGTGATCATAGTACACGATGGCCCCTCACTTGATTCTCAGGTGGGTTTTGCAAGTCGGTCCCGATATTCCAAGGTGTTATGCGAACGGCCTCGAGGAACATAGTCACAGTACGTTAAGCATCATTGCCATCCGTGAAGGCCAGCCTAGCAGCACACCAAAGTGCTGATATACAGCCTCCCATCCACACCGGGGACCGGTGCCTAGGCTCGGAAGTCGAGTCATGGAACTGCGATCTTTGTTGAGATGCGCACGCAGCAATGCTTAATTTATACTCGCAACCAGTTGGTAGACTCTTGGAAGCGCGGCGACCATATCAGACCTACAAATACCTGGCGGGACCGACATCAGTCTGTCAGCTGACGAATGCCGCTCTCTTCTTCATAAAGAGACCCACCACCGGACAGAAAGGCGTGGCGACCCACAGTCATGCTACTCCGCACTGACCTCCTCCGCTCTCTATCTCTCGTTGTTTGTGTGGTCTCGACGAACGCCCTGGTCACGTCCCTGACCATGCGCTCGCGCCAGACCGACGAGTGCACCGGCGCCAGCGTCCCATGCACCGGGCTGGGCGTCCAGTGCAGCGAGACGTGCATCTGCATCGACCCCTTCGACGACGGACACGGGGTAAGCCCCTCGCGCGGACGCACCCCCCCCCCCAAAATCATCACGCTCGTGCGCGTCGTATTCACCGCGCTTTTTTTTTTTTTTTTTTTGCATGTTCATGTAGGAATGCGTGCCGAACGCGTGCGTCGGCGTGCGCTGCACGACGGACGCGGATTGCTGCTCCACGCCGCTGCCGTTCGTCTGTCTCCAGCCGCCGGTCGGGATCACGGGCGGAGGGGTGAGTTGTACGCCGGCTGGGCGTCGGCAAGTTTGCGATGGTGGCTTGGTGGCTGACGGTCGGGATCGCTTGGTTTGCAGCTGTGCGCGCCGACGCTTCCGCCGGGGGAGGCATGATGAGCGTCCAGTGCGGTCCTCTGAGATCTCGTATCAGAGCTCGGGCGGAGCGAACGGAACGATGCGGTCGTGCGGTGTTGTACGAGCCATGTCTGCTTGAGCCGGTGTTGCGGCAGTACGTACTTTGTGGAGAAATAGTCAGCAATAAAAACACAAACTTATCTGCAGAAAGTACAACGCGTACATGTGGCAGACCCTTGCCAACCCCGATGAATAGTCTACGAGTACATAAGCAGACAACATGGACTCACTCTGCAGCCTGGACGTATCTCCGGAGTCGGCTTCATCGACAGGTTTTTTTTCCTCGAGTTGGTGGAAGAAAACATCGTTTCCTCGGAGAGATGGGCCGCCGATGCTCGCATAAGGCGCTGTAAGCACCCACTTCATGATGGAATCGTCCACTGCCAGATCATGTGGTAGGGGACTCCTTCGTACAGCCGTTGGGTAATGTTGACGTGTCCGAGTCTGGTGGTTCGGCTCAGTACTTATACAGTACGTGACTGCTACAGAATACGGTACTACCTGAAAGTACTAGTACTCGCTCGTGCATTATACTGACGCGCGTCTATCATGTCGAGGCCGGTGATCCTGAGCTTTCTAACTTGAGTATGTACTACCTAGCGGAATTCATGGGACATCGATTCGTGCCGCGAAGGTACGCCAGTATCGTCTCAACAATCTGAAGCGGTGTCATGTGGCGAAAACCGTCGTTTTGATCCCCCTCCTATTGCAACTCGCCCTGGCACTGTTTCTCGTCGGCCTCCTTGTCCAGCTCTGGAACCTCCATCACGTCGTCGCTGTATTCGTGTCGATACTCGCGGCGCTGCTAGGAATGTTTACAGCCGTGGCTACGTGTCTCCCGCTATATGATAAGACTTGTGCATATCTCACATCCTTGGTGCGGTCGATCTACACCATCTGGCAACCACGGTCGCTCGTCCGTGGTATGGGCAAGAGCGTGCTGTGATCGCTCGCGCCAACGAGGCCTTGGAAACCCAGATTCTCGTCGAAGCGTACAACACGACCTTGAGCCCGGATGCGATCTCTACCGCCACTGTCTGTCTCTTCGCCTCCTATCCGCGTCGAGATATCTTCCCCTATTTCCAACTCCTTCGCAGCTGTGTTCTGGAACGGTTCGGTTCTGACAGGGCGGATATTTTTCTCCAAAATAACAACCACATGCTTCTGTGGACTTTGCTCCTCATGCAAAGCCTCCGTTTACCTGACTCTCTGTAGATCTCAGAAGAAGACATCGACGGACTAGCTACATACCTGTACAGGAGCTGTCTGCTGCCGGGTGACGCAGGCGGTGCCCTTTCAAGGTGAGCGATCACATCGTTGCATGCGGTACTCTCCAAGACCAGCGTATTCTGGCGCATGAGCTCCCGGACGTTACATGCCCGACACACGCTCGAAAGGAACTGCGAGTTATGAAGTGGCGAATGAAGTACTGCGTGTAACACCCGATGGTTATGATTCAAGATGGTTGACTGTGATCGTTTTCAAAAGCGACGTACCAGACATGCCGCGACTTTCGTACCTGCAGCAAACGTCTTCTAGAAGACAGACAGCCGCCGGACACCTCCTGTCCCGAGGAACATACCCATACCGTTTATCTCGCCATTATCGAACACTTCCTGGAAAATGTGCAAGCAACATTCGACCAGCCCAAGTCCTCACGCTCGCAGACCAGGGACAACATCATCCGCTCTTACGTTGCGGACGTTCTCGTCGACTTTACCGGTACATGTCTGACAAGATCAGGTCTGTGGCATATCGCCTACTTTCAGCGGTGCCTCCTCTGAGCTCTAAGAGCGATTTGTGGCCCTAGGATCATGTGCTGCATCCCCCAAACCCTTATCCAGAGCCTTCTATGCTTGACACACCTTCTCAGCGACAGGTGCACCTCAGGAACTCCGATTGCGGGGGGGCGCGCTGTGCAACATGGTGCGCGAGCTAGAAAGACGGATCGTTGTCTCGCGTCCACCCAGGCTACCGACTCCGAACAGCTAGCTCCTCAATAATGGCCGGCGGTACAAGTTCATCTTCGCAACACTCTCCCTCTATTCCTCCTGATCGACGGGCGCGCACGCACGCACGCCGACCATATCGCCATTGCACTCCCGCCTCTTGCGATCATATGTTTCTCCGTCGCGCTTGCAGGGTCTCGACTCCCCATTTGTTTGTGTTCTATATTCGAACCTCTGGCCGCCAGCTCCAACATTTGTCCTTCATGCCCGTCGGTGACCCCCGACTGCCTGAGTACGTGTCTTGTGCTCTAGTTTCTTTCAGCTTTGTGACGTCACGCCTGTGTCCCACCAGTCCGCACACGTACGTTCGCGCGCTCTCGGTAGCGTTCAAATCCTCGAATACGGTTCGCTGTACATACACGGTTTTCACCCTTTCTCTTACCACTGCTACCTTGTCCTCCTTGGCTCGTCGGAAAATATGGTCCCCGCTGTTGGTAGCGTCGTTTTCCGTCCCGCGTTGTCTGTCTGATCGCAGCTGGTGCTAACAGCTTCTCCTTTCTGTGCTCTCGTTTTCGATCGGTGCACACCATCGCGTAGGTCTGTGGCTGAGCTACGTTCAATATGATGGCAAAAGTGTACAGGGTCTTCAACAATACTATCTACGACTGTGAGGCAGCACAACGTCAATACTACTACACGTCGAGCAGGCCGAGAGATATCATCGATCATCGTATGTCATGATCCCGTCCGTTAGGGGGGGAAGGGGTTACTACCTCAAGATAAGCGGTCAATGACTACATAACAAAATTGTCCAGTTCTCGCTTGATTTCCCC